GCTTAATGTTGGACCAAGCCTAGGAAATTCCCTTACTTGGGTTTTCGTGATGCTACGATCATTGTGAATGGTGTGTTACACTGGATTACTTTTACACTACTAAGAAATGCCAAGGTGAGGCAATACCTTTCTTCCGATTCTTCTAGTTCTAGTTCAACAGATGGTGATGACAATGGTAATTACCCAGCTTTTATTCATCCATCCTAAGATTTTAGAATGGATACAGTCAGAACACCCTATACTTTACCACCTTATTCTCGTTCCTCTTTATACAATTCAAACACCCATATATTCGAATATGCATATGATTTCACTAAAATATATGTGATTGTTTACCATGATATGGTGGATGAGAGGCTCAGGGAGATGCCACCACCAAAATGTATGAAAGAACATGATATATTTAATTAGTTTGACAGTTATGAGAAGTTGCCTTAGTTTATTTTGTAATTCCATTGATAATAAACATGTTATGGTATGGACTAGAAGCAATATTGTGAGAACAATTCTTGGACCAAGTTCATTGTCATCCCACGTTGGGTTGAAACAATGAGACACTTAGATTACTTAACGCCGTTGTGTGCTACTAAGATAGGTGAAGTTGTGATGTTGATAAATCTTGATAGTTTGGTCAACTATAATCCTAAAGAAAACAAGTGCAGGAGTATTGGACTAAAAAAATAATGGAGTTCAAGAGTGGTTTTATATGTGGATAGTTTGGTTTTGCCCATTAGTACACCTCAAGTAATAGGAAAGAGGAAAACGAAATTGTAAGGAGGTAAATCAAATCATCTCTATTTTCTAGCTTCTATACTATTTCTAAGTTAATTCTTGTGTTATGATTGTTGTGTTCTATATTAGCTAGTTATCAAAAGAAATACATATAGCTTCTCTTTTGGTAGAGAAAAAAAAGAAGTAATCAATATGTTATTGTTGTGTTAATTAGTTCATAATTTAGTGTAATTAAAATGACAATTACCATTATTTGTAATAATGAGTGTCAACCTCAGACTGTCAACTTATCTATATGTAGCTAAAGCATTGTAGTTAATTTGAGGAATTAGTGAAGATAATGATGGCATGCAATGGTAAATAGAAACATGACTGAATTACATGTGTGTGTATAGCTATGTGTGTTTGTATGTGTTTATAGTGTAAGTATGTAACTAAATGCATACATCTTGACAAAGTTTATATCTCATTCCCTTCCTACATAAAGGCATTTTTAAGTTTAATTTTAAATTTCTTGCATGATGTTTTCTTTTTCCCTCTCTCCCCTTTTCTAATTTTACAATGTGAAGCTTTTTGGCTTTTTCTTTTTCCTACCATGTCCAAACAGAGATAACAATTCAAGATACATGGCATCAATTGGCAAGCACACACCAGGCTCTATACCTAGCTTTGCTTAAATGATGGAGATCAATATCGGGAATTAGCAGAGAAACAATAAGTTTTGGGTTTGCTTTATGTTTCATAGGGTGTTTATTTTTATTTTTTGCAGTAATGAAACTGTGATTTCTGAGGCACACTAGGAGTATGCCTTTATTCTCGTCTTTATAATGGCTTAAAATAATTTGAACTTCTTGATATTTTGGTATTGATACTTCCCCATGTATGGTCATTCTCATTTAGCGAGGACAAGAAAGAAATTGTCTATTTTCTTGTCTTATGGTGATAAGAAACACACTCTATATTTGACTCCTTCCAGATGTGTTTGCTTGTTTGTCGGAGGAGAAGATAGTAATGTTTCCATTCTTTGTTGCAGATCATTCTCTTGGCAAAAATTTAACAGTAACCACCAATTACAAATGGTGAAAGCCATATTTAAAAATTTGTTTCATCCTGCGGAATGGAGTTGGCAATCATTTTCATATGTCCAAAGAATAAACAGAAAAACGATATTAATTAAGAGATATTAAAAAGAAAAAATAGAAATTGTTCAACTTAGTAATAATAGAGAAATTTATTAAGAGATGTAATGTAATATTTGAAGGAGTGCTCTAAAATAGAGATTGTAAGGGAGAATTTGCGACTTATTGCTAGAGAGCCATGCCCCTTTTCAACTTGGTGAGAACCGAGACTATTTTTGTTGATTATGAAAATTGTATTATTATTTAGCATAGCCTAAAATAAATTTTTACTTCCAATTTTTTCTGGATAGTTGAGATTGGTTGGTGGTGGTGCTGGGATTTTAAAATGATTTCAGAGTGCTAGCTATGTGACTCAAACCCCTAGTATGATGCATAAGGAACATGCTTTAAAATTATTTTGATAGCGAATGAATTATCAATTTTACCCGTAGTATGTAGGTCTACACAGATGTGATGATGGTTAAGTTTTTATAAATTCAATGCAATAAAGTTAAAACAGTATATTTTTTGAATTAGTTACGGTGTAATCAAGGTTTCAATATTTGACTACTTCAAAATCGTTTTTTTGTTTGTTGCAGTAAAGATCATTTCTCTTGGCATAAATCTGTTAGTAACTAGCAGTTCCAAATGGTGGCTATTTTGAAAAATGTATTTCATGACGAGAAAAGGAGTTGGCAGTTATTTCGATATGTTTTAAGAAGGTAATCTTCACGGTAATCAGAAAACATGGTATTATTAATTAAGAAATATTCAAATATATATATATATATATATATATATGTATATTGTTCGACGTAAGAATAATATAGAACTTTATTAAAACAGAGAAATAGTTTAAAGTTTGAACTAATTTCATGCAACCGAACCCCTAACATACAGTCTTTGTTTGGGCAGTGAAAATTCTCAGTTCCAATCAGGGGCGGAGCCAGTGTATTCCCGGGTCACTTGCCCCCTCTGGCATGGCCCGCCCACTATACATATAGAAATTTTTTTTAATTTTATATGTGTATATATAGAATTCTATATATAATGCCCCCCTGAAATTATTAGCTTTTAAAATCATTTCTTATTTTTCTACTTTTTTCCTAATTTACTCTTCAAATTCTTTAAAAAAAAAGTTAAATTTTCCTTGTAAATTAAATATTAATTGTTTCCTTTTTAAGTTGTCATTTTTCTTACTTTTTTTTTCCCTTATTTTTCTTCCCTTCAACTCTATTAATAAATTTTTTTTAACATTGTGCCCCCCCTAAAATAAAATCCTGGCTTCCGCCTTGGTTCCAATGGAACTGATTGGGGGTTCTGGGAACTTAGAAGTTCCAGGTTAAAGTAACCAAATAATATTTCAAAAGGAAAATTGTGAGATCTTGAGAAGAGGCCTAGAATGACCAACTCTAAAGTTTATTAATTTTTACCATTGATGAAGAACCTTTCTTATGGCTAAAAGGAAAGGAATTAAAAGTGCTAGACTTTGAAAAAAAAAAAATCCTGGAAATGATGTATGGAAAGTGTAGGATTAAATTAAATATATTGAAAGGACATTTCTTAAATGTAAGAGATAAAAGAAATTGAATTAAATTAAATATTGTTTGAGTTTTGTGTTGAACAAGGTTTTAAATTTGCAAAGAGGTGCTCTATTTACATAGTATTATGATGGGCAGTTGTTGCAGGCAATTCCATCATAAACTGGGATGCTTCAAAGTGGAATGTACTGTACGGATGCGAAAAGGAATTTGGAAACCTGAGAGGACATGCATTGGGTCCTTGCTTTTTATCCATTAGGTAGAATGAACAAGAAAAGAAAGGAAATAGAAAATTTTGAAAATTTTGGTTTCGTTTGGTTAGATGGAAATAAGGTAGAAAAGAAAAAAAGTAGAAAATGAAAGAAAAGTGATTTTCTAGCATGCATTTGGTTAGCATGAAAATTTATCTAATAAAGTTGTAGAAAAATATTAATATGTTAGTTTGGATAGCATGAAAGTGAAAAGAAAGTGATTATACATACCAAAACTAGCATTTGAGAGAGATATATGAGTATATATGTCTCTCAAAGGTAGGGATGGCAAATTATGACACGACACGACAACCTGACACGAACATAACACAAGTTAAAAAGGTTTGGGTTTAGCATAAACGGGTTTGGGTCATAAAAGGGTCAACAAGATTAACCCGTTTTCTTAACCATGTCGGGTTAGGGTTGAAGGGTTCAACCTGTGTAACCCGTTTATGACCCATTTAATTCAACATATTATAATCGTGAATATAACCTATGTAATATGTTACCTATTTAAATCCAATTACTATGGATAGTTAAGTCATTTCAACATAAACCTTATCTATGCCTTATGATTTTTCTTTTTATTTTAAATATTTGGATTAATTATGATAATTTTTTTTTTATTATTTAGTATTTAATTAAATATTAAATGTCTCATTTTAATAAATAGGTCATTAAACGGGTTAATACGATTACCTGTTTAATAAACGGGTGTTAGTGTTGGGATTCTTGACACGATTATTAAATGGGTTGAGTTTGGGTTTACCTATTTAGTATAATACCCTTACATTAACACGACACGAACACGAATTGGCACTCCTAATTTTTTTCCCCTAATGTGATATTTAAGAACTAATTTAGAATTTATTTCAATATTTATGTTTACCTAAATAAAGTCTTTTAACTTTTTTGGCAATAAAATTAAAAGATTAGGGATTTTGTGAAAAGAAAAAAAAAAATAGTAAAAAAAAATAAATAAGATAAAAGAAAAAGTTTATAGCGAAAAGGGATGATATTATAAAATGAGGGGCGTTGCTTAATGAGTTTAAGTACCTTATGATCATTCCCTTAAAAAGAGAAACCTCCCTTACCATTTGGTGGCCTAATTCAATTAATATTATTAATGTCCACGTTTTTTTGAAATTTTTTTTTTTTTTTGAAAGGTAAATGAAAATTTTTATAAATAAGAATATAAGCATATGTGCAGGCCCATGAGTTTGCCCAATGCAAACACAAAGTGTCCAACATACATACATACATACATATGAGATATATATACATTCGGAAAGCCATTCCACAAACCCTATTCCATAAACCCTTCTGCCGCATTGAAGAGAACACAAAGAAAGCCAGCAATGGAAGGCAACACACAAAGTCTTCCATGTGATGTCATATACACCATACTCTCCAAACTACCCGTCAAATCTCTGTTTCAATTGAGATGCGTTTGTAAATCTTGGCGTGATGTAATCTCCGAAGCCCAATTCTCGAAATCACATCTCACTGAATCAATTAAGTTGGTCGACCGTCAAAGAATCTTTGTCCGGGACACCATGTACGCCTGTTTCCGCTCCATAGGTTGTGACTCCATGGATACTTGCGATGACGGTTTAGACGAAACAATATACTTTCCTGTTGAGAAGTATACTAGGGCTAAAGTGTTGTGTTCTTGTAATGGTTTAGTACTGTTGCGTGTTAACAAAACTGACAATATGTGTGTACTTTGGAATCCATCCATCAGAGAATTCAAAAAGTTCTCATGTCCATCTCATATATCTCACAACTACAGTCCACATGGACTTTACTACGATTCTTCCATGGATGATTACAAGGTAATATTTTTCTCTCGAGGGCTGGAATATAATTTTATTGTTTTTAGTTTCAAAGGTCAATCTTGGACACAGCCTAAGAAATTCCCTTATTTGGCTTTTCACGGTGAGACGGTTGTTGCGAATGGAGTGTTGCACTTGGTTGCTCTTAAACCTAGGAAAGTTGCCAACATGAAGCCTCCCTTTTCACCATACCCATTTTTCGTTACACTCCAAGGCCAATTTTCCGATAAGCCTAATTCATATTCGATTGTTTACTTTGATACGGTGGATGAGAAGTTCAAGGTCATGCCACAACCAAATTGTATAAATGAAGGAGACAAATTTAGTTTGACGCTTATGAGAGGATGCCTTAGTTTATATTGTGATACGAATACGATTGCTAGGGGTGTGGTGGTGTGGACTATGAAGCAATATGGTGTCAACAATTCTTGGACTAAGTTCATTGTCATCCCACGTCAGCTAGGAATAAGCTATTTTTATACCTTGACACCATTGTGTGCTACCAAGAAAGGTGAAGTTGTGGTGATGACTGACAGAGGAGGTATACTCATCTATAATGATAAAGAAAACAAGCACCGGCTAATTTGGGAATCAAATCTAAGTTATCCAACTTTATATGTGGATACTTTAGTTTTGCCTTGTACAACTCCAGTAAAAAGAAAGAGGAAAAGGGGATTATAAGGAGGTAAATCAAAAAATCTCTATTTTTCTAACTTCTCTTTCAATTTCTAAATTAAATATGTTTTTTAATTGTTGTGATCGACATTAGTTATCAAAAGAAATATATATAATTTTTCCAATGGAAGATTCAATTATCTCGAGTCATGCCTGTATTTTCGATTACATGTTTATGTAGCTAAAGCATTGTAGTTAATTTTAGAGATTAGTGAAGATAATGAAGAAATGCAAAGGTAAATAGAAACAGGACTGGATTATATATGCATGTGTGCATATATACGTATACTTGGACGTATTTATGTTATAAGTTTGTAACTAAATGCATACATCTTGACAAAGTCCATATCCCATGCTGATTGACCTTCTATTTAACAATGTTATTTGCCATTTAATATTTCCATAACTAACAAGCTATATTAGTAAAATTGTGACAAGCTTGGATAGCTATATCGACGCTACAAATTACTTCTCAGTCTCTTCCCACATAAAGTCATTTTTAAATTTAATTTTAAATTCTTTGAGTAGTCTTTTTTTTTCCCTCCCCCCTCGCTCCTTTAGTAATTTTTTTTTTTATTTTTTTTTTCTGTGAAGCTTTTTTATACTTTTCCTATCATGTCCAAACAGGGACAACAGCTCGAGATATTGGCAAGTATGCATAGAGCTACATGAGTCTCAGAAGAGTCATCCGCTCGCTAATTTTTTTATTTTTATTAAACACCTACCTCAATTGAATTTTTGGTAAAACTCATCTATTTTGGTAGTTTGATTTTTTATTATTATTATTATTTTACTGTAGTTTAAAGTTGCCCTCCCTTAAAATAGTTTTCTCACTGATTATTTATACCTAGCTTCGCTTGAATGATAGAGACCTCAAGAATTAGCAGATCAACGGTGAGTGTTGGGTTCAGCTTTATGTTTCATTTATTTATATATTATTCGGTAATGACACTGTGAAGCACTCTTGTCGTTTTTCTTTATTCTCTTGCTTTTATAATGGTTTAAATTTATTTGAACATGTCGATATTTTGACATTGATACTTCCCAAAGCATTAATAAGAAACAAGCTTTAGATTTAACTACTTTCAAATGTGTTTGTTTGTTCTTTAATTGCAGTAAATATCATTTTCTTAATTGGCAAAATTTTACTAGTAAGTTGCAGTTATAAATGGTGAAAGCTAGTTATATTGTTTCACGCCGAGGAAAGGACTTGGCAGTAAGTTCCATATATCACAGGAAGGGAATCCAACAGAAATTGAGAAATTGTTCGACGTAGTAATAATGTAGAAGTTTATTAAGAGATGTAATGTAATACTTGAAGGAGTTAAAATTATAAATTGCAGTCAGCTTGATCTATATCCTTTAATTAGATTGCAAGGTTGATCGGGGGAGAATTTGTGCTTTATTGCTAGAGAGCCAACCTGGCCCCTTTTCAACTTGGTAAGACTTTTTTTGTTGATTTGGTACAAAAATTGTGTTATTTAGCATACCCCAAAAGAAACTTTTACTTCTACCTTCTTCAAAATAGTTGAGATTGGCTGGAGGTGTTGCTACGATCGATTTCTTCATTTAAAAGGGTAATTGACTTTCCCACGAATGTTATGTACTGTTTGATAACCTCATTCAGCTTAAACGATTAAGACCCGGTTAGGATTGGCTTTAAAAACTATTTTTGGCTCTCTAAACCCCGAAAGCCAAAATTTAGAGTATTTGGATTGCTCAAGGCAAAGAACTTTGGCCTTCTGGAAGAGCCTTAATTTATAGGAAGCTGGAGGGGACTAGTTTGCTTCTTCCTAGAAAACAAGGGAAGTCAATTTCCCTTTAATAAAACTTCCGTAATTCATTCCTGGTAGGCAAATCTCAACGGCATAATCTTAGCTTAGGAACTATTCAATGGATACCATGCATAGCCACAAATGTCCTCTTAGATGTGCTTTGAAAATCGACTTGAGAAAGGATTTTGATTCTATAAGATGGCTCTTTTTGCTTGATTGCCTCTCTCTCTCGGGCTTCCTTCCCATTTTTATCTCCTAATCCAAGATTAATGCATCATGTCTCCTTCATTCACCATCCCTTTATATGGAAAACTCCAAGGTTTCTTAAAAGAGTTAACGACCTTAGACAGAGGCACTCACGTTTTGTTTTGGGTAATCGAAATTTTCACTAGAGATGCAAGAAAATGTCTATCCCAAATCTCATTTTTGTAGATGACCTGATTTTACTATCATATGGTGGTCTATATTCAGTTTAAACATTGAAAAGAGCTCTAGACCTCTTCACTCAGCTCCCAAGCCTATCAAAAATGTCAATTTTTTGTTCAGAAATTGATCCTGCAACGTTGGAGGAGCGAACCTATCAAAAAGGATGGATGGGTATGTGTTTGAACTGCCTCGATCACCCTTGAGAAATTTCTCGCTTTCTTTCTTTTCCCAACCTTCCACACTAGTCTAACAGAGCCATTAAGTCTGGAATAGTCTGTCAGTCCCGATGCATAGATTTATACTGTGGCTAGCCATTTTAAATATACTCTTTTTTGTTTTGGACAGCAAAGCCATAGCATGCTGGCACATCCCAAACTCTTGTAGCCTTCATCTCTAATCTGTAGAATCTCCATCACATCTGTTATTTATAGTGGTCATGATGACAAAGGACATGCTCTAATAGAAGAAAGTAAATGAGAGTTATGGGCTGAAAATTCAGAAACCAATCTAAGATTCAGGGGTTGTTAGTAGAAAAGAAAGATTGAAAGTAACAAAGAAAAGTCTATTGGAATCACTCCGACAGGACCTAGGTATCACACCCAGAGAATGCCTCACACCCTTAGAATTTGTGAATCACTCAAAAAAAAGTCTCAAAGAATAATTTTATTCAATCATTCGCTGAGTATTCAGAATAACATAGTATCCTTTTTATAATAAAAGATGACCCTTGGATTATCCTACAATGGAGGTAATCAAAAGTTGACTATAACTTAATAAAGTAACAAATAACTTAATTGATGTAATTTAATCTAATTATGTAATTTACCAAAACAATGCAGATTTTCCATAATTAATGCAATTACCAAAATAATGAAATTTGACCAAACCCCCTAATAATGCAATTTACCAAAATGATGCAGATTCACCATAATTAATGCAATTACCAAACTAATGTAATTTGACCAAATCCCCTAATTATGCAAGACTCCAAGTGGACCCTATCATTTAGCATGTGCCAAATAAAGGTTTGAGCTCTAGAATCCTTCTTGCCATGCCTTTAAATACTTTAAAAGGCTGATGCCAATGTTCTCTACCAATTCTCTGCAGCTTGGAAAAACTCGGCTCCCACGAGTTAAAGGGATGAAATTGCTCATAAGTATAAAAAGAGCAAGAAAATTTCAGCCTTGTATTCAGCAATTTCCATAATTTGCACCAAAAACAATGCATAAACTTCAAAGTTCGATCAGAAATAATAGTGTTGTGCAACTCATGAAGTCGGACAACTTCTTGAAAAAAAGGTTTAGCATCGTTGATAGCATTGGAGGTCATAGAACATAGAAGAAAATGCGCCTTTTTCGAAAAAAGATCCAGAACAATGGTTATAGCATCATGTCCTCGACTAGTTCTAGGCAACCCCATAACAAAATTAGCATCTGACCCATCACCTCTGTTAAGAACTCCATGGCGAGTACCATGTCGAAACTCAAGGCTATATATCCTTCCACGAATGTATTCGAGTAAGAATATAAAGAGCAAACCAGTTGGTTCCATCTAGGTACTGTGCTCCAGAATCCAATAGACAAATGTTGTTTGGATCAAGTCCTAAACATATTTTCTCCTCTAGTTTATAATGCATAATTGCTGCATTAGGACCAACTAAGGAAATAGTAGGAAAACTTAACCCACTAAAATGATCTTTTGATGCGTGAGATCCCTCTAGCTTATCACTTACATGATTAGTTTCTTCTGGCTGTTGGTTTTTCCAGACATCATCTACCAAGTTGGTGGATATCTGAACCAGCTTCTATTGCTTCTTGGCACAAGCATGCTCCCATTTTTTTGGGGTGCCCACTAATATACACCAAGTATCTACTCCAATATATAGCCGCAGCTTTTGGAAGATTTAGAATAGAAGTATTATCTATCCAAGACGCAATGAATGGTTGTGGATATTGTTTAATGGAATTTTAAGACACTTAACCATGGCTGTGGAGACAACATTTGGGCTGCCACTGCCACCAATGGTAGGCTTCCGAGCTTGATTTCCACAATGAACTTGCGTCTCAAAATGAGAGGTCTGTTGCCCATCTTTGCCACCAACTTTAGGGTCTTCAAGGATGCACGTCACAATGGAGATGGACGAAACAATGTCTCCAACTTCTTTCACATGATTAGTGTTGCAGGTTTCATCATCAAGCAGGTTCTCACAATCCTTGCTAGCCATTGTACTCTTTCCTTCAGGATCAGCCATGTTAGATAAAGACGGTTTCGATCCATCATATGGCTGCATTGTTGTTGTTTGTATGCGGTAAGTTCCATCATGTAACTTCTTTGTAATATCTCCAGCAACATCATGTGGCTCATTATAATTCATTTCTAATGAATTTCTTGGAAACTCGAACATTTGGTGTGGTGGTGGATCAGCCCTCACATTCTGCCTTTGTTGCACATTTAAAGGATGTTGTTGCTGTCGACCACTGCCATTATTTGTACTGGATGTAGTAGGAGCAAAATTGTTAATAGGCTGACACATTCAAGCTTCTAACTCATTGAATCGGACATTCAACCCATTAAGCTGCTCCACAAGCTTAGATATCAGCTCATCTTGCTGATTAATACCCGATCTTTCATTTCCTACTTGTGTTGACATGATGTCAACTGAAGCTCTGATATCAAAACTGATGTAGGACAAAGGATAGGCTCAAATAGAAGAAAGTAAATAACAGTTATGGGCTGAAAATTCAGAAACAAAACTAAGATTCAGGGGTTGTTAATAGAAAAGAAGAATTAAAAATAACAAAGAAAAGCCTATTGGAATCACTCCAATAGGACCTAGGTATCACACCTAGAGCTTCAAACCCTCAGAATTTGTGAATCAATCACAAAGAAATCTCAAAGAATAATTTTATTCAATCATTCGCTGAGTATTCAAAGTTACATAGTATCCTTCTTATAATAAAAGATGACCCTTGGATTACCCTACAATGGAGGTAATCAAAAGTTGACTCTAACTTAATAAAGTAACAAATAACTTAATTGATGCAATTTAATCTAATTATGCAATTTACCAAAACAATGCATATTTTCCATAATTAATGCAATTACCAAAATAATGAAATTTGACCAAATAAAGGCTTGAGCTCTAGAATCCTTCTTGCCACGCCTTTTAAATACTTTAAAAGGCTGATGCCACTGTTCTCTACCATCTCCAGTATGGTTGGCTTTTTTGTTGGCAGTTCAGCTGCTTTTGGCTTTCATTAGCCCAACGTGTTTTGATTAGTTCTAGGACTGTTTTCCCTTAGCTTTCTCACCGCAGACCTTCTACATAAGTTTACTCATTTATACAATTGCTTAAATTTTCAAATAAAAAGAAAATGATTGCTTTCGAAATAGAAATGGGGTCTAATTAATTGCATTTTGATGAAGATCATTTTGTTTTCTCTCCGTGGTTGAACCTTGCA